CAAAGTTAACAGTTAATAATTAGTGGTATCAACAACCAATTATGATTTGTAACTTTTGTGCGATTTTTTTATACTAAAAAATACATTTTTTTTTATCAGTGGTAAACAGCGTTACAAATTTAGAAAGGGTACACAAAAGTCATAAGTTTGGGAAGCACTGCTGTAAGGAATAGTGATGTCTAAAATACACTATCATTAAAAGTTTGTTAAACACAAAAATCATCAAGATAACGCAAATCACAAATTTCAACTAAAATCCAAGATGGTGAGGCTAAAGGCCTCTTAACAACGCATGCCGTTTCGATACTAAGCAAAACAATGTAATTTAACTTCAGGACCCTCGCTAAGCATTCGCCACCTCGCCAAATGCGATAAAATCGTAAATTTGGCGAATAACATTGTGTTTTAGCGAAAGTATTCACGAATGATTTTTTCCACTGGAAAGAAAAATATATATTTAATTCAATCCTCAAAATTACGTTAAAATGAATTTTTCAAAACAAATCAAAATTTCTTTTTCGATTACAGTAATTTTCGGTAGATGCGCCATATAACCAATTAAAATTGGATCCAAATAATATAAACCTGAAACAAACTACCGTAAAATAGTTTTCTAAAGGGGAAGTCTCGCAGTGGACTGATCGTTAAGACACGGTTCCCAGCAGATCACCGAAGTCTAGCATCACTGACTGCGGTCAGTGTGCGGGTGGGTGACAACTTGGATCAGTCTGCGTAGGGACCGAGGGTGTGCGGTATTGGTCCTCGTTAAACTGTTCTACCGTAAAGTGCTCGACTGCAGGTCGTCGGGCTACCGAAGCGGGGGCGCCATCCCCTTTGCAGAGGATCAAAATTGTGATGGCATGTCTTCCGAACATCCTAAGGGATGTTTCCCAGACCGTCGCCAATAGCCCATTGTGCAGCTATAGTGCGACGTAAATGAACAAATCAATCTAAGGGGGGGGGGAAATAAATTTTGTTAAGAATTGCGTTTGGCGAAAGCTTTCGAAAATTGGCGAATACTTTTAATATTTGGCTAATAATTTTAAATCCCTAGCGCTAATCCTTTTTTAATTTAATTTTTAAGACTCATTACTTATTTTTGGACAACTTATAATTTCAAACAACTCTTGCGTTTCACCAAAAATATAAATAATTGAAACACGTTTTTAAAGATTAAAAAAAAAAACCAAGAAGGGGGAGGATGTCAATCTGATTACTTTAAATTTCTATAGAAATTTAAAGTAATTATTTCCCCCTTCTTGGCAGACCTCATTGCATCATCAGAAAAGGAATTTAGGTTATGTTTTCTTGAACTCTGATGTTAAATCTCGTTCGAAATCCATTCGTTTGCTTTTTAAAAAGATTTTTGTGGTTTTGCATGATAAATTTGTTTTCTAAACAAATAAAAAATTGTGGCTGACACTGAATTTCGGTCTCAAGCATTTGATGCAAGTGGAACGCCAGTGTCCCTTTTTTATATATTTTTTTCTGACTCTCTAATTACAAACAAAAATTATTATGCATCTATTAATTATAAAAAAGCAATACGATAATTTCTAAAAAAAAAATCTTATAGATTATCGACATTAAATTTGTACTAAAATATAAAATCCAAAAAAATAATTGAATTTTTTTCTCATTCAGATTCAAATATTTATTAATACTTGGATTTTGTAAAATGAGCTAAATTTCAATGATGAATAAAAATAATCACAGTTTTACTCTTAGATCTAAGTAACTGCAAATATGAAAAATCATTGTTTAAAAGTGAACCGTCTTTGGAAGATTTTACCTTTAACGCAAAAAAAAAAAGACACCGGTGTTACATAGTTTAAGATTATTAAAATTACTTAATATAATAATTTTCACTCATTTTGACCCAGAAAATAATTAAAAAAGTATGAAAAATATGCTTAATAAAATTTCTGCGTCAAAGGGTTAACCATAAAAGGCAGAAAGAGCTATAAAAGCATTGATAAAAATTTTAAAGTTAAGAAAAAGTGAGCTAAGATAAACCTTGAGTAAATCATAAAGTTTAAAATGCTTTAAAAATTCTTTCAAAACATCAAAATGCAAACTAATCATGGCAGAAGTATTCATATAACATTACACAGTAAGGTTGTAATCCTACAATAACTTGTTTGAAATTTGAAGGGGGGAAAAAATTCACTATCAAACCGAACTTTGAAACTTCAGGATTAACTCTAGGTTTACCTACACTAATTGATCTCTGAACTTTAAAATACCAATAGAGGTGGAACAGAAATGGTTATTAAAAAGTCTTTTAATCTTAATAAGTTGCTGATGATATTTTTGCATCATGTATACAAGAATTAAACATTGAAAAATAATCACAGGAATCCCCTCAAACAAAGGAAATACACTAAGTAAACAAAACAAATTTATGCTTCTAAACTAGTACCTCTTTTTCTTAATTTAAGAATTAATGATTCGTTTATAAATGTATGAAGAAATCATCAAAATCTAATTAATTTTATAAAGTATGTGTTTTTGATTTTTAAAGTGGGAATAAGCTTCTAGAAATAATGAAAAGAGGGGAATGGATTAAATAGGTTGTGATCTTTCGGGGTAGAAGAGTTTCAAGAATTTTGCTTTGGTGCTGCCATCTGTGATTAAAAAATGTTACTTGTTTTGCAATAATACTTATTTGTTTTGTAATTGCTGAATGAAACTGTGAAAAACAATATTTACAATCATTATAATTACTATGAATATAATTTTAAACACTACCAGAATCTTAAATCTACAAAAATCCAAACATGTGATGAAAAAAGTCCAGTATTTAATCCAAAATAGTGATGAAAAATTTGATCACCATAATATTTTCTTATTGTTATGCCATATCTTCAATAATAAATTTCACAAATTGAGAACTTTTAGTCGAAATCATAAAACTAATTTTAGGTAATCTCAGAGAAGAATCCTTTATATAACACTTATTTCATATATGGTAATGTTCAGAGTTACAAGTTAGTTGTGAGCGAAAAAGACTAAAATTTGTACATGATTAGCAAAAAATTTCATAGGAACAAAAATTCCAAGAAAGGAAACATTATATGCATTGAAAGATGTAGGCACGGTGTAAATAATAAAATAAAAGCAAATAAAATAACTGCTTTTTATTAACTTTATGCAATATTAAAATCTTAATTAAAATGAAAAAAATTTTAGAACAAAATATTGGATATTGTTAATTAATCTTGTAAAAGATTAGTCATTCATAAAATGCTCGTTTGTCAGGCCACCTTATCAAATAGGATTTAAATTATCACTATCTTTTGCCATTTTGCTGTTAATCTAATCCCCTAAATGATTTATCAGTAATACATTACCGATTTTGAAGGTTTAGATAAGCACTCTTTTTAAACTAAAGAAAATCAATTTTATCAATATCCTCAGAATTTCAGAAAAAAAATAAGGTAGAAAATTTATAATTTTCTAAATTATAACCAGATAGCTTTTACCAGTTATAAGTTAAGTTTCCCAATAATATTCAGAAACTGATTTATAAAATTCTTTAAACTTAAAATTTCATTTTTGAGAGAAATTTTGTAATTTTTATATACAATTTATTGTAACTTTCCATTTGTAACTACAAAACTAGGTTTTATTCTGGATTTAGTCTAATTTCAAACGTAATTGGGAATACTGATAATTTGAAGTCATTCACAATTAAGAAAATTCCATTACTGGGTTCACATAAATTTTTCAATTCTATTTTCAGAAGGTGGAAATGTAATGTACATGACTAACTTTTTAATACCAACTTTCACTTAAATCATTAAATTTAGATCTCTTTTCTTTATGAAATAAAAAAAAATTATGTTTCCAAAATCAATTGAGTTTTGTTTCTATCTCATTTGGAGAAGTTATAATAATTAAAATAAATATATATAAATAGCAAAATAAATAAAGAAAATTAAGAAAAACAATAAGTTTCATTTATTGCACATAAGCTGCAAGTAAATAGAACTCATAAAATACGTTCAAAATGAAGATAAAGCAAAGGAAAATTACAGACATATGAAAAAAAAGGGGGGGAGAAAAATAATAATAAAAATAAAAAAAACTGGGGAGGAAATAATAATAAAAAAAAAAATTAAAAAATCCAAAAAAGAAAAAAAGGATTAAGTTTTTTTTAAAAATCCAGAAAATAAAGTATATAATCTATTCATCAGCCCACACAATTATATCCGCAAAAGAGAGTGCTTTCTAATATTGTATCAGTATAGCTTTTTTGCGGATATAATCGTGTGGGCTGATAAATAGATTATATCTTTTATTTTCCGGATTTTTTTTAAGAATGTTATCCTTTTTTTTTTAATTATTTTTCCCCAGTTTTTTGTTATTTTTATTATTATTTTTCCTTTCCCCCCTTTTTTCATATAATTTTCCTTTGTTTTATCTTAACTTTTCCTAACTGAACTATGCTAACTTTTCATAAAATGAAATAAGTTCATATTTTTTCAGGACTGAACTATGGGTTTTCACTCCAGGAATATTCCATCTGGACAGGACTGCATATCTTTCACTTAAACTAATAAAGCAAAATATTTTTAAAATCTTTTTAAAAGCATCACTGAAAAGTCTCACTTGGTTGTACATGAAATAAATACACACCTTTTTTTCTTAAATATATTTTAATAATTTATTTTCTTAAATACGATTATTCACATTTATTTGAAAAAATCAATGATAACGAAATGACAAATTTTCAGAATCTAACACAAACTGACTATTTTAATCATTACGGAACAATGTAATTGTTAGTTTAAAAATATGTAGGCAAAATGAATATTCAATAGATAGACAGTGCAATTTATATCACATTAAAACACATAAGATTTGTCACTAAACACTATAATTGAAAGCCTTATTGTAAAACAGCATTCATCTAAAAAAAAGGAAAGTTAAAAAATAATTTAAAGAAAAAAATTTCTATGGTGTAATTTTATCTAACTACAATTCAAATTTTTAAAAGTCATATTCACTTCAAAACATTAAGTTAATAACTTCATTGTTTCTCAAACGTCGGTCTGCGGATCGATGCCGAGCCAGAAGCTCTAAACAGAGGTCCACAATAATGAAAATCCTACATAATATCAACTGGCACCACACAAATGACTATTAATATGAAAAATCCGTAAAAAAAATTGAAAGAAATAGAAATGTACCATGATTTGAGCCATGCTTAGGGAACCATCCATTAAATTTCACCCAAGTTTCAACATTAGTTACAAATTCTGTCAACAGAAGACATTGTTAAGGTAAAAAACAAAAAAATCAATGTTTTATTATTGTACAACCTTCATTACAAGCAACAATGTGGAATAGTTTAAGGATAAAATTAACAGACACTCCTGCAAATTTTTCATTTGGATCAGTCTGGCATAAAGCAACAGTGTTTCCGCTGAAAAATGTATAAATAATTTTGAAACTTTGAGAGACTAGATCACATTTCGCAATCCTTCCACTTTTATAATTGATTTTTTAGGTTATTGGTCATTTTAGGCACACTCAAAATTATATGATTTCACCAACTTCAAATTTGCATCATGAATTTTATTAAGTAGGGTAATTTCCCTAAATATAAATCACTTACTTTTAAACTAATTGGTAGTTAGAAACTTTTACTATGAACAAATACAAAAGTGAATGAAGGTTAACTGCATTTATAGTATAAAATGATTACCTTACTCAATATAAAATTTCCCGAAAAACCCGATTCATCTAAATGTTTCAGAATAGTTTGCTATGTTGATTTAAGGCAACAGCAAACTCTTTCAGAATATTTTTTTGATATATTTTACATTTTAGAGCCAGAATTTAAATCAATAAAAAATTTAATTTTTAAAATTAACATTTATTTTTACGTCATTTAATGATTTATTATTGATTTATCATGATTCAAGTTATCGTATTGACATCATCGTGATTTATGTTATTTCCGACCTTCCTTCACAAAGATTAAATGCATGCTCCAAATGCAAGGTGATAAGACTGATTCTGGCAAGCTCAAGCACGTCAAATGGTCCACTTCCTCCTTTTCCAACTTGGGCAACTCCATCCTCGTGTATTAAGCTTTTAATGGCTATTCATATGCTTAGCTAAATACTGTTTCCGACTAAAACCTTTTCCACAAACTTCACACGGAAACCGTATTTTCACATGAGTACGGTAATGTACTTTTAGGTACTTTTTTATATTAAAACGTCTACCACAAATTTCACAAGAATAGCACATTTCATTGGCATGTATTTTTAAATGTTCTCTCAAATAAGAACCACGACTGAATTTTTTCCCACACGTTTCACAGATGTATGGTTTTTCGTTTGTATGAGTACGATAATGATCTCTCAGAGCGCTCCGAAGATGGAATTTAGACTCGCACAGTTCACAAGAAAATTGCTTTACTAAAGAGTGTGTTATTTGGTGTTTTTGTAAATTAATTGCATTATGAAATGTTTTACCACATGACTCACAAGAATGTGTTTTTTCATCAGAATGTGAAAGATAGTGTTGTTTTAAGTGTGCTTTTCGTCGAAAGCTGTTTTGGCATATTTCACAAACATATGGTTTTTCTGCAGAATGTGACACATAATGTTGCTTCAAGAAATCTTTATGACTAAAAGCCAATTTACATACATCACACGAGTAGGGACGATCAGAGGAATGAATTGTTTCGTGTTTTTTTAACTCATCTAAACGCTTGAAAGTTTTATCGCAATTATTGCAGGAATGTGGACGATAAGAAGTATGAATTACTTTGTGCCGATTCAAGACATATATGCTCTTAAAAGTTTTACCACACTCATTGCACGAGTAAAGACGATCAGAAGAATGTACTGTTACATGATTTTTCAACACACTTAAGAACTTAAAACTTTTATCGCACTCGGTACAAGAGTATGTTTTGTCACTGTCGCAAGTAGCCATTGTAAATTAGCAACTGTAATTTCAGTTTAAAAGATAAACAGCAAATACATATTTTTTTAATATTCTAAATTTTTGAAAGCAACATCACATTGTTTAGAAACTTATATGTACTACAAAAAAGACCTCTCCTCGCATCCCTAGTTTGCAAAAACAAGTAAACATCAATTATAAAGTGATGGATTGATAGACAAAATTTAACGAACCGTTCTCGCTAGATGCAAAAAATTCGCTGATGTGAATGAGAATAAAAATTTCTCTAATAAGATTCTTGTTTGCATGTACAATTTCGCTTCTGGGATTTTTCTTACTATGAAATTGGCCTTTACAAAATGAAATTCAAACAAAATATATTTGAATTACATTGTTAAGAAACTTATATGCATTACAAAAAAGACCTCTCCTCGTATCGCTAGTTTTCAAAAGCAAGTAAACATCAATTATAAAGTGATGGATTGATAGACAAAATTTAACGAACCGTTCTCACTAGATGCAAAAAATTCGCTGATGTGAATGAGAATAAAATTTCTCTAATAGGATTCTTGTTTGCATGTACAATTTCACATCTGGGATTTTTCTTACTATGAAATTGACCTTTACAAAATGAAATTCAAACAAAATATATTTTATATGAGAGAAACTACGAATTAAATAAGCCAAAACAGGTCGTCAAAAACGCTTGTAAGCAATCTATCAATAAAAAAATAAACAAATAAATATCGTAAAATTGTACTTGCAGCTATTATTATTTTTTTGAAAACCAACTGCACATAATGTAAATTTCTTGAATATTTGTATTTATTAGCTTATTGACAGCTTTTAAAAAAATTAATGAAATGGAAGATCCAGTTGGAGAAACAATACAGCCTGAAGAATCTTCTACACTTATGAATAACAATACTTCACCGTCACCGAAAAAAACATTCTCTTGTGAAATTTGTAAGAGAATCTTTGAGCGAATGTCTAGTTTAAAAACTCACGCTCGTACCCATACTGCTGATAAGCCATTTGTGTGCAATATATGTGATAAAGGTTTCAATAGACGAAGTAATTTAAAAAGACATATTGCTACTCATGGATCTGAGAGACCTTATTCATGTGACGTGTGTGAAAAGAGATTTCCCCTCGAAAGTATCTTGAAAACACATTATATTATCCATACTAAAGAAAAAAATTTCATTTGTGAAGAATGTAAAAGATCTTTTCGACATAAGCATCAATTAGAAGTGCACAGTCGAACTCACTCGAAAGAAAAACCCTATATGTGTTCAATTTGTAATAAAAAATTTGGTCACAAGAACAATTTAACTCTTCATCTGGCTACCCATAGCAAAGATAAGCCATATTCTTGTGAAATATGTGAATTGTCATTTAGCTTGAAAGAATATTTAAGACTACATTACCGTACTCATACTAACGAAAGACCGTATGCTTGTGATGTATGTAAAAGTACCTTCAAGCGTCGGTCTTGTCTACAATCGCATGCGGCAGTACATTCTAATGTAAGGCAATATTCTTGCGACGTTTGCGAAAAAAAATTTAAACTTGAAGTCCATCTGAAAAGACATAAATATGTTCATTCTGATGCTAAACCTTTCATGTGTGATGAATGCAACACTCCTTATCGTTATAAATCAGATTTAAGAAAGCATCAAAAAAGGAAACATAACAAATCTCAATTATTAGGAACACTTAATACTATTTAATTAAGATAATTGGCAAGTTTCAAGGTTAAGGCTTATAGAATTTAACTATAAACTGATCTCTATGACTCTAAAAAGCAGAGAAACTTGCAATTCCTTACAAAAGCGTGAAAAATCACCTAAATTTTCAGTACCAGTAATCAGGTTTTAGATTCTAACATCTGTTAATAATAATCCTAACATCTATCACAATTATAAATAATTTTATTATCTGTTCCCATTATTTGTGATAAAAATTCCACACTTTAATTAAACTTTTTAGTATCTCCATACTTATTAAATAATATTTTTTATGCTCAAAATCTAATATTTGGCAAATATCACAAATTAAAAAAAAATCAAAGGTTTTGGGTAAAAAATTTCATGGTTTAAGTAAAATATGGTCTGGATTTACATTGAAATACCTGGAAAAGTTAGAGAATTTTTTTTTCTGAGATTAAGTGGAAACTCTGAAAAACATTAAAGTTTTTTTTTCTGTAAATGTTCAAGGGATGAAAAAATTTTGTTGTTGCTGGAATTTCTATTTGTTGAAAAGACTCAATGAATTACCATTAGCTGAAGAGAATGTTGATTGATGTATTTCTAGTTGTTCATATATTAATCCAAAGAGTGATGTAGATATTAAGCAATAGGATCTTCTTTAAAGAAGAACTAAATTTGATCAATAATAAAAAATATTTTATTTCAGAAAATATGGAATCATATCGTGCTCCAAAGTAAAAAAATGATTAATTTTTGCGTACACATAAATTTATAAAATGGTCTGTAAGGGTGTGGCTGCTGGACTAAGCCCCACAGGAAAAATTCAGTTTTCTGACCCCCAAAATATGATCCCCAAAGTTTGGTCATGAGAGCAATTTAAAGTTTGACCCCCTTAATGCTAATTTTTCATATTTTGCTTCATCTCAAGAACTTTTTAAACAAATTGAAATATTTTTACACTCAATTGTAAAATTCAATTATCTGAAGATAATAAATAACTTTTTTATATAACCAAAGTAACATATAACAGATAATAAATAGCAAAAAATAACTTTTAGTAGATATTTATTATTTAATTTAAGAATGGTTGAAAAAATTTTGAATTATAAGACACAAAGTTTTTTTTGCATCATTTTAAAGAATGTTATTTCGCATGGCAGAAAACAAAATTTGAGAAAAATCAAGAATTGGTTGAATAGTTCCTTAAAAATCGAATTTTAATTTCCTAAAAAGTTTTAAAATCTTCCTCTTTTTTTTGCATTGTACACAATATAAATTAGGATCCTTTTATTTTTGCATTTATCAAAATTTCTATCAAATAAAATATTAGCAAACAGAAAAAAGGTTCTCATATTTAAGTTCTCGAATTATATTCATGCTACGATTCTCAAGTTGTAATTTGTCAGTCTATATGGACTCTATTCTACAAGTTGGTCAATAAAAATCCATTTTATTACTCACAGGTCCCCAAGTTTTTACTTGTAACTAAACCAAAAAAGTATGTTTTGAGAACATTTCAATTTGTTTTGCCGTGAATGACAATACATAACTCAGCATGTTTAGAGGCTGACCATTCCATCAAATTGAACCCATGCACTCATGCATTTTACTTACTATTGAATCTTGTAATTTGAGTTCTTTTAATGGAAATTATATAAAGATTAGTTTTTTAATTTCTGGGTGTCACAAACCATTTACATTTTCTCTACCAAATGTGTTGTTCTTGTCATTCACCATTCAGAAAATAGCAGCTTAGTTTAACAAAGTCCTTAATAATAGTTCTTCACATTTTTATTGTAGCATAACTGAAAAGATACAGTTTTGTCTCTACAGATTACCAAATCAAAATGTGTTCAGTGTCTCAAATCCTAGCCGGCTGACTCTGTTCTCTTTCCATTTCTTTTTTCTATAAATCAACTTCCAAATATCATTAATTCTTACCGTAATATTGCATAGATACGCCGTGATGATATCGTTACGCTGTGATGTTGTTCAGGATTTAAAACATTAAATTTTGATATGTGCGGCATATCTTAGGGCCTGCCTATCCGGTGTTGCTTTTTTTTTCAGTAATTGAGGTTGAAAATTCTATTTTATTGAATAAATTCTCCAAACTTTTATTATTACTCTTTATCACTTTATCTTTTACAGTGATCTCTTTTATAATTTACGATCAATAATAATTTAAAGAATTAATAATGTAAGTGAAAAATAGTTTGCAAGAATGTAACAATAGCACTCCCCCTTTCAACTAAATAAGCCATTGATGAATTCCCCTCTTACAATCAATCCTTGAATAGTTTCTTACAAAATTCTATGAAAGTATGATTCCCCTCACCCTTTCTTCTGTTGTAGGTGTGAAGAAAAAAAATGAAAGAAAAATTTGCAAGTCATTTTCTAAAATGTGAAATGAAATGTTTTAATGATCGATCTTGAAGGTCAAGTTCATTCCCCCTTCAGCTGAATGTCAACTTTATTATTTTTATTTGTAGTTTTATCATGTGTAACCGAGACTCGGAAATATACCATTTTGAAATTTAGAGATGCAGTTAAATGATGAGCATGTTGGTAAAAGAGAGATGTTTTATTTAGATCTGTTTTATTTATTCTTCATTTAATGGTGGTTTTAAAAAAATTTTTAGCTGTTATATCTTTTGATTATAATAATTAAAAAAATTTTGCTAAATCTTATCACTCTCAATCTATATCAAGCATCACTGGCTGTGGTCAATGTGCGGGTTGGTGACCACTTGAATCAGTCTGCGTTGGGACCAAGGGTGTGCAGTATTGGTCCTCGTTAAACTGTTATACCTTAAAGTGCTAGACTTCGCGTGCAGGTTGTTGGGCTACCGAAGCGGGGGTGCCATCCCCTCTGCAGAGGATCAAAATTGTGATGGCATGTCTTCAGATCATCCTCAGGGATGTTTCCCAGGGATGCCAATAGCCCATTGTGCTGCTCTAGTGCGACGTAAAGGAACTACAACAGCAGCTTGTTACTTTTTTTAAAGTACTTGTTTGAACTTTTACTCATTACTTTTTAAAAGTAAGGTTCTCATGTATGCATGCAAGTGATGTAGTGTGCTTATCGGATGCTTTGCGCATGCTCTGGGAAAGAAAGTGTTCCCTAGATCAGTTTGTGATGTAATATTCCCTATGTGTGAGGAATTATATAATGTCACTAACAGATCTGGGAAAAATTTCTTTATACTTTCATCCGTGAGCATGCGCAAAGGTGCCTAGATGTCACGTGTTAGGTATAAATGATTAAGAGTTCCAAATAGGCAATTTCCACGGTTCCCAGTAGAACGCCGAAGTCAAGCATCAATGGCTGTGGTCAGTAAGCGGGTGGGTGACCACTTTGAGAGTCCGAGGGTGCACGGTATTAGTCCTCGTTAAACTATTCTACCGTAAAGCGAATGACTTTGCGCACAGGTCGTTGGGCTACCAAAGCAGGGGACCCATCATCTCAGCAGTGGATCGAAATTACGATGGCGTGTCTTCGGATCAACCTCAGGGATGTTTCCCAGGCCGTCGTCAATAGTCCATTGTGCAGCTCTAGTGCAACGTAAATAAAGTACCTACCTACCAGTTATAATTATCCACTTCTTTATTAAATTTGCTCATTTTTCTTTTAACATTTAACATGCGAACACTAAATGTATACCTATTTCTACCATAGCCGGTCAAATGACCAGACTCTGTGTTTCTTGATTGAATGTATCAAATATGGATGTTGGGAAGGATATAAACTAAAAAACTTTTATTATAATTAAGCTTAAATTGAATATTGTCAATTTACAAATGCAATGAATGAGAATTTTTAATTCATTGCTCAACGCATTCTTTACATATACAAGATGTTTCCATTGTATATTTTCCCCAAACATATTTCTTCTAATTATTATTATTTCTATAATTCTTATAATTATAAGAATTATAATTCGTGTAATTATTCTTATAATTAATATTATTTCTTCTAAGAACTTGTGCTGTCTTGATTGTTTTGACATTTTTCTGAGTAAAAACTAACAGTTAGTTAGAAATGAAGTAAAGCTATCAAAATAAAATATAAGCTACTCACCAAAACATTTAGTTTTTGTCACTTTTTCTATCACAAAAATGCCAATCTAAAAGTTTAGGTACTTTCTTGAAATTTGAATTCACAGTTATTCTGATTGAACTAACTTCGCAAGTCTTTTCAGAATGTGCAACTAACCGAGTGCAATACGTTGAACACGCATTACATCGTGATTTCTGATCCGATAACCTTAAAAAGCAATAAATTGTTCTCCCGGCCAAATATTGTTGTTGTTAATTTACGTCGCACTAGAGCTGCACAATGGGCTATTGGCGACGGTCTGGGAAACATCCCGGAGGATGATCCGAAGACATGCCATCACAATTTTGATCCTCTGCGGAGGGGATGGCACCCCCGCTTCGGTAGCCCGACGACCTGCGCGCGAAGTCGAGCACTTTACGGTAGCACAGTTTAACGAGGACCAATACCGCACACCCTCGGTCCCTACGCAGACTGATCCAAGTGGTCACCCACCCGCACACTGACCGTAGCCAGTGATGCTTGACTTCGGTGATCTGTTGGGAACCGTGTCTTAACGATCAGTCCACTGCGGGACGACATTTTTCTGGGAAAAAACTAACAGTTAGAAATAAGTAAAGCCATCAAAATAAAATATAAGCTACTTACCAAAACATTTAGTTTTTGTCACTTTTCTAACACAAAAACGCCAATCTAAAAGTTTAGGTACTTTCTTGACATTTGAATTTACAAGCATTAATTGAATTTACAAGGTATATTACAAGCATTATTCGAAACAATCAAAATACAAAAAACATAATAATAGAATATTAACTGTATATAATTGTTAGAAAAAGTCATGAAGTCAAATGAGCAAAAACGATAAGCGCATTTTCGATGCAAAAGTTCTTAAAGGGTCATTTGACCAGTTATGATATGTTTAGTGTTATCGGATCATAAATATTTTTTCTAGAAATTATTTTAA